CAAACCATGATAGGGGTGTGACTATAGGGGCTTCAGAATATGGAACAACACAGATGTCCTCAGGCTTGACAAGAGGTTCCCCTCATGCAAACTCATTTGCAAGAATAAGAAAAATTACAAAAGAGGCCTTGCTACTCTAAGTGACATCAGAAGAAGAAAAGGGRGAAGAAATCCAGCATTTGAAAACTCTCAGGATAACATACCCCTGAGTAAGTCCTGGTCTGATTCCTRCCAGTGACCGATTTACACCATGAAACACACTCTTTCCCAATACCTCTTACCTTTCACCACAATAACCAGGCAAAGTATTCCTAAAACAAAACTAATGAACTGATTTCCCTTTCTACAGGAACAGTGAAAGGAACTTAAGGGATTCAGATGATTGTGRTGGATGAACCGAGACAGCTTGCACAAGGCTGACTGTGCTGACTTTTCTCCTCATCTGGACTTTATGTTCCCCCTCAAAAATCCTGTCCCTGTTGTAGGAATGACCCAGGGACTCATAAAGGTACAAACTGAGGTCAGCTTCAGATTTCCTTAATAATTCACAGCAGTTGGTAGACTTTGAACATGCAACTGAATTATCCTTGCAGCAKAGACTCTTGASAGAGAGTGGGAAYAARCAACTGGCAACAGAAAGCCATGCAGGTATTAAAGTTACGAGTGGACAGACTTTAAACAGAGCCCTCATGTTAATGGTAAGCATGTAATTAATTAAAGTAATTAATTCCACTTTGTTCTTTTACTAGAGGGAATGTAGTGTCACTATCTTTGGAAGCTCCCAAGAACAGATTAGGCATCCATTAGGAACAGCCTATATGTGCTGGTCCTCATGGAAATGCATTCAGTGGTTCTGTGGTCCCTTCTGACCCCAGCTTTGTGATGACATGCACTGCATAAACAGACATCCTTCCCTTCGAAGAACTACTGTGCCCTTGCTCTTATGGCTGTGATAGAAGTGCCTTAATTCAGTTCACAAGTGCGTTACGGAAGCAGATCTTTCTTTTGCCCTCAGTACACTCTTCCAGTGCACAAACTGGATTATTTTGGGCTAAAGMTGAGCTGGAAGGGAGGTGTGCACTTTTGGTAGTTGAGAGCTTATTTGAAACCATGAGGGTAGATATATTCAGGATGCCAAAATCTCATCATACTCTGTTTTATCACACAGCTCTGTTCCATCATGCTACTGCCTAGTATGACATCACATTATTTGCAGAGCCTTTATATACTATAACAATAGAAAAATATTATTATTGTTTCACATCAGAAACGATTGCACCTTAATTAACAAAAGCCTATAAGGTTTTAACTGAAGATGGAAGTTGTTATGGTAGTACAACTACACACATTTGGTCAATTTCCTAGCACTGAAAAGAGAATATTTTAGTGATTAGGAGAGAGAAGAAATTCAAATCACAAGGTCATATTGCACATATGGAAGTTTTAAATATACCTTTAAAAATAGCTGAGCATGTTTCTTCTAAAACATTAGGGTGACAACTCCCTCCTTTTCATGTGCTTGCATTACTTTTTGATTTTTTTTTTTTTTTCATAAAATCATAGTAAAACATTCTAGTGTACCAGTCTGTTTTTTTGTTGATATGGACAGTAAGTCCAATTTAGTATTTACTTCATAATTTAGAACAATATATTGCTTTGATAATATAGTCTTACCAAACAAAGCCTCAAGCATCCTTCTCAGCAGGCAAATTTCTGGACTGTACRCTGCCAGACTAGGGTCTTAAATCTAGTTTTGTTAGGAAAAGTCCAGTGAACCAAAGAAAATGTCAGTGTTTCACTGGAGGAATTCACTTCCCAGGCATAACTGGGAACATGTTCTTTGCCAAAAGGTCACAGAAACATGCTTTTCATTTTTTTCTGCCTTACTAAGCACAACTCAATTTCAAGATACTCTGTGCAGAGTTTTTCTCAGCATGAGGAAAGACTGAAGCTGTGATGGTAACAGAGAGATCTTTTCCTGTTCTTAATTCAATACCAGACTAATACTCAACAARGTATTTCACTATTTCTTAGGTTCTCCATGATAAAAAGAAAGCAGGAACCTTCRCACAGTGGTAGATACTGTTCTAAGACAGTTTTAATGAGCAGTGATTTTTGGTGCTCTGTGGTGTGATGGTAATAGAGATGTCTTCTGTTATGTTATTGGTCAAGAGATCACAATAGACATAATTTGGAAAAGTAGAATTGGGCAGAAAAACAGACTATTCCAAAGTAAGACATAAAACATCATATCTTATTTTTCAGATTCCTTAAATTCCTATCTTTGAAAGAATTATGGGCTACAGTCAAGAAGCAGTCAAATAACAATCTCAAGAACTACAGAAATTACAAAATATTGCTTATTTTGAACAWTATTTTATTATAGAAAATATTTTATGATAGAAGAAGGCACCTTGTAACTGTGGCTGTGCAGATACCCAATATTCTTTTTGTCTGGTTGGTTTGTTAAAAGATAAAATACAGTGTGACTTCTGGAACAAGCAAAAATCCTGAGGCAATAATGTTATTCTAAGTTAACCTATATAAACCTATATAAAGTATACCAATACATGAAAAGCATTTCTGTTTTGAGCATGCTGAACAGGTAAGAGCAAGAAAACTTTTGTTTCCAGGGTTACATTAGGAATGAAAGACACTCAGGTATGCTGTGGGAGTTCTCAGTTCAGATGCTTTTTTTGCCTGAGGAAGTTCAARTTTGTGCTGCCCATCTTTCTGGAAAACTTCATACATGTGACTGCTTATAAAGTTTTATATTTCATTTAATCATTTGTGAAGTTATATGCCTGTTTTCTAAGACAGCTTCCTGGCTCTCATGCMATGTAACTCTTCCTTTTATTTTGTTCCTTTTCTGTTTCTTCTCTATGAGCACTCCTGATCAATAGGAATCTGTGTTTTCAGAAACATGAAACAATATTGTGAAGTGAGCCTGAAAGACATACATTTATCTTTGATAGGTGGAATAAGACTACTGATGGTAAACAAACAAAAAGAAGTCTTCTACATAAATTTGACTACTGCTTTAAAAAAAAAAATCCCTAAAACATGTTCATGTATGCATAATTGGTTAATTGGCAAATGAATTCAAGACATCTTGAACTGAGCTTTTAAGTGAGTGAAATCTTAACATGACCCAAAAATTGACTTCAGAAGCATTCTTGCCCTTGGTRACTCCGTTTTAGTATCTTAAGAGAGATGCAAGGCACTGCTATGGCAAGTGAGAAATATGATGGAGAATAYAGGGAGGAAGGAGGTTTGAAGTATGGGACAAAACCCCCTCCTCCACTGTTTAGAGAAGACCATGACTCTAAGGTTGCTCCATTTTAAAATGAACTTTTTTTTTCATCAGTGTGTCCTAATTGTGGGTACTGAAGTTTTACTATTTAACTTTAGGCACTTGAGACTTCAATCTCAACACTCCAAAAGTTAATGTACCTGCCCATCCCAAAACACAGGCAGTATTCATTTATCAATTAAATTTTCRTTCATCTGTTGTCTAAAAATAAGGCTGAAGCCCCATGGGATAGCCCACGCTATACTGACTGCATGGGTTGTGGCTGCAAAGCCTCTAACTGGAATGATTCCAGAGCAGATGAAGAGCCAGCCAGTGGTCCTTGGATTATTCCAGGTGACATTAAAGGCTGAATTCATGTATGTGCTACTCTTGCCTGTGTGTCAGAGGTAAGCCCAGACCTCAACTCTCCATCGTTCTTCTTTTATCCAAGGCTGACAAAATAAACTGTTCTCATAGCTAGTCAAAAAATGTATCTTCTGGCAAAGTATAATTATTATCTTTTAACCAATTAAAACTATTTCATGTTATGCTGCACTACCCATTTTAAAATCCTGTTTGGGAAAGCTGAGATCCTGTTCATTCCAAAATTAACAACAAAGTTGTCATTACCTTGGATAGCAAAGGGCCATATGTTTAGATATCCCTCTTGTTTTGAAATTCAAAATCTATCTAGCTCTATCACTAGATAAAACCAGATGTTTCCCATCAGGTTGATAATTATMCAGAGAAAATGGATGAAAATTAAAATGTTCATACTTGACTTTGAGAGCTATCAACTGGTTTTGAGCAGCTTTTCTGCTGGCAATATTGACTCCAAGCATTTCCTGAATGATTCTTCAAGCATTCCTTTCTTCAAATCACTAACAAACAATGCATTCTGTACCCACAATAAGTGATTTAACTCTGTGGAAACCCTTAAAATATAAAACTTCTATCACTTATCGCACACACATTAAAGAAATCCAAATGTTTTGTCCCTTTTGCAAAGGGACATTTAGCATCTTCTAAAATATCTATTTAGATTTTCAATAATTTAAGATCTTTTGTGTGTTTTCTTATTACAGAAAGCATTTCCCTAATTTATTAGATAACTTTTAAGATTTTAGCACGTGCAAAAACATGATAGTCAAGGTTCTTTTAACTAATTTACTTGAAACTGGCTCAGAAAATTGTCAAAAACTTTTTAGAAATGTCCTTCAACCTGTGTGTCACAGATTCTAGAGGAGACAAATACCCCAACTTTTAATAAATTATCATTTATTTCTCAAATCTAAATGTKTTGGACATAATTTCTTCCCCAAGAGCCACARTCACATTTGTCAACTTAACTGATCYCWGAAATGAGATCCAAGTTATTCAACAGGGATAAAATTAGTAGCGAGCCTCAGGCATAAGACAGCAGTTGTTTTTAGCATTTGTTTTTGGTTTATTAACTACTAGAGATATACAACAAATGAAATCATAGGATGGTCCTGCAATCCAGTTGAATAGTCTCTTATTTGTTAGGGTTGTTTTTTTTTATTTTGTTGGAGTTTTTTCGTTGGTTAGTTTAGTTTAGTTTTCTTTTAGTGTTTTTGTTTTTGTTGTTGTTGTTGTTGTTGTTGTTGTTGTTGTTTTTGTTTTGTTTAGTTTGTTTAGTTGCTTGGTTCAATTCTTTAAATTTTCTACAACTGCGGAACTCTTTAGACGAAGTGGAGTATGTGTACCTGCAAAGGCATATTAAGGTGCTCAAACCTCCAGTGTCTGAAAGCAGTAAGTTCTCAATTTTCCTCTCAACTTTATCAAGGCTTCTAGTCACAGGACAAGTTGCCATCTAGTAGCAAAATCAATCCAAACCAATAAAAATGCCAAGTTTTCCATCGAGTTGCTAGAAGCAATCTCTCTTTAGAGGATGGTGATACTTTACCTCGACCGACTACAGCTCAGCTCCTTGGCTGCTTACAAGACTCATACATTTTGTAATTTCCAGCCATATTCCTATTCCCATTCCCATAGCCTCCATCTAGTGAGCCACAGAGAGGAAATTCAGCCAGACTAATCTGCAGTTTCCCGTAGTTATTTACTACATTTGCTTATCCTCCCTGTTTCTCCTGACACGTAGCCTACTGTGCCTGTTATGAAACCCCTGTGCCCCCGTTTCTTTCTCCTCTGGGTCTTCTATTCTCAAACCTTGCCCAGGACTAGCTTGATAAAATGTTCCTGGTGCAGCTCCCGTTTCCTCTAGTTTTCTCTCTACAGAAAAGAAATAAAAATAAAAAAAAGGCCTTTTATAGTGTCTCCTTCCCACAAAGCAGGGAAGCACATTCAGTCACTCAGTCATTGCTCATTCTTGAACACTAACGAGACTATTTCTGTTTTTTTCATACTCTTTTTAATTCTATTTTATGAAACAAAATGGTATCCAAAATAACTATTTTTGACACACTTCAATATTTTTAATCAATTATGGGATGAATAAATGTGAAATTGTATTTTCTGGAAATGTATTGCAAATGAAACGATTCACACTGCATCACAAGGTTTTTCCTGGCCCCATTGCACCTAGTGTCAACAACAGAATTGTCAAGATACTGACAAAAATGTACYAACTAAACAATATGGACATTTTAATGAGAAATTTAATGAGAAATCTAAGCAGTGTCAGGCCACTTACGATTTTCTGGTTTTTAATTTATTCATTTTCCTTTCTCTGTAGGTCTTTATGCTTTATTCTTGTTAATGAGGACTCGTTGAGGAGAAATGTATGGGAAGACAGTGGAGAAAACAGGCTCATTCATTTCTTTGTTAGTGCAGCTAAATATAATGCAGAATACAGTCTGATTTCCTTAAAACTCATTAGGCATGTGAAGGCCGCACTGAATGAGGGAATGAGCTCTTTTACCATTTTGTAAAAATGTCTAATTAATTTTCCTTTGTCACTTTCAATATGTTTCTATTACATGCTTGGGACTGCTGAGGCTCCCAACGGTGACCGAATTTTGCAGCTGAAAATTGCTGTCTTTAAGTAATTCTAAGATTTTCTTGCTGAAAACTCGTAAGCACACATCAGAAGCTGGTTGTGGCCACACAAAGACCCTATTTGGTTATGCTTATTACTTTTACATTGTCTTGAATTCTATTTGTTTATTTAGAATAATTGCAAAGTTTTGGAAAAGTCACCTGCAATATTTTCCTCCACACTGTAAATGAAGATTATATGCTTCTGAAATATTCTTCTCATAGACAAACACACAGGAGCAAGGGATCCTATGGACTACACACTCTTTGGCAGAAATGAGCTCTGCAGTGTGTTCAGTTCATCCAATTACCTGCTAAGTTACAGGTAGTGCCCAATACCATGTGCAGAAGGCGCCAGAATACACTGTCATCAGAGATTGTCATGGATAATGGTCACCTGTGTCACCTGCATGGGAGTAACTGACTGGATAATCAACACTTCCAATGTCACTGGTAACCAATGGAATGCTTTTACCAATGACTGTCATTGTATTTGAAAAACAAAAATTACTACTACAGAAGTCCTAAAATCAGGTGAGTTGCGCTGTAGCAAGAGAGTAAATAATAGCATTTGTATTTGCCCTCAAAAATCTCCAAATCTATATATTATTTGAATTTCCTGTATTCTATTGCCATTTATTTCACAGATTTATAGAATAGTTTTTTTTTTAATAGATGCTTATCACTATGAACAGATAATTCAAGTAAACAATTAAGAAACTGTTTCTGACTAAGTTTCTTTGTTCTCCTAATTATTCACATGGCATTTATTATGCAAGAAATAATGGTTACTTTGCAAAATGAACAATGGTGACAATTATATTGTTAATAACTGCTACTTTTCTTCTCATCTTATTTAATTTGTAACTCTTGCAAAATATTCAGTTTCATGGTAGGAACAGCCTCTAAATTATGACTTCACTTTACAGGAAGAGTCTTCCAAAAGATAGATCCACCAGATGGTGCCATTCACCTAGCCAGATGAGGAATTTGGTCCATGAAAGTTTTCATTTTCTTATTTATATATAATCTTTAGTAATCAAGATATCCTTGCTCACCATTTTATCGGTGTCCTATGCCTTTGTGAATGTTATGTTGATTTTTATCTAAACTTGTCAAAGCATCTGTTTCTCAAGGAAGGGTATGTGGGCAGCGATGACCTAATATGTTAACCAGGAGAAGTTTGCAATTTTGTTTTTGTGGTTTTTCGGGGTTTTTTTACTGAGAAGAATAAAACATGAATCTGGGAGGAGTGGCTGATATCCCAGAGGGCTGTGCAACATTACAGAAGGACCTTGAGGGGTTGGAGAGATGATCAGAGAAGAAATTCAACAAAGGCAACAAAAATGATTCAGAGAGTTGGGCACTTCTCTTAAGATGAAAGGTTGAGAGAGATGGACCTGTTTAGTCTGGAGAAAGATGACTGAGAGGGTACCTAATTAATATCTGTAAGTTTCTGGAGGGAGGGTGTCTACARGATGGAGCCAGGCTCCATAGGACAAGAGGAAACAGGCAGAAACAGCTGGGCAGAAAATTCCACATGAACATGAGCTGACCAAGCACTGCAGCAGTTTGCCCAGAGGCTGTGGAATGTCCCTCACCAGAAATATTCCAGAACCTTCTGAGTGCAATCCTGTGGCATGTGCTCTGGGTTGAGCTTGAGCAGGGAGGTTGGACCAGGTGACCCACTGTGGTCTCYTTCAGCCCTACCCACTCTTGTGATTCTGCGACTGATGCAAAACTTGCATGCAATCATAGAAAATAAAAAAGGTTAAAAGAAAAGCCTAAGTCCCCTACCTAAGTCCCCTACTTTTCCCTGGAAGCAATTAATGTTTGCCTTCCATAAATGCTGAGAATGTTTTACCCTTGACTAAATATATTTATCTTTTTAAAATTTTGATCTCTAGATTTGACACAAGCTGGAGCTAAGTCTATCCATTAAAAAAAAAAAAAAAAAAAATCACAGGCTTTCCTGATTTAAGTGGTCACATCAAATTATTAATACTTCTTATCAGAGAAAATGTTTTTACATCTACCGTTCTGTTATTGATCCTAGGCCTTAAATAGCAAATAAAAGTCCAAATTCTCATTTTAACAAGAACCTCACCCTCTTTTGTCTTCATACCATATCTTAAGTAATATTCGGTTTTTCCCTGATCCTTCTTTTGAGTCCAACAGAAAACCATTGCACCATAGGGTCCTACATCCTTATCTGGTCTTGGCTTAATGAAAACACACAATTTCTTTCATCAGGCCTAAGGTAGCATTGGTCAGAGAGGGAGTCTTCATCTGCCTCCATTCCCCAGAATCCCACAATCCACTCCACAGGTGCCTATCCTTACTGTTCCCAGCAGAGAAATGACAGTAGACCAAATGTACCTGGAGCTGCCAGCGAGAAAGTTCGAGGCGCCTGAGAAACAAGGCTCATAGATATAAACACTGTACCTCCTGAGAAAGCACAGGCTGAAAACAGATTAAACACAGACTAAATGGTTTGGTGCTAAGTCTGGACACTTTCCTGTATGGCTGTGTGCCAACACAGGRCTAAAAGCCACACAGGCATAGCAGTGCTCATCCATCCCCCTGAGATCCAGGACGTGTCAGTCTCTGCTCAGACCTGTGCTAATGAGCACAGGCAGCCCTGGGAGCAAAGCTGCCTCTCACAGTGCATGCCCAGGGACTTTGCACCAATGCAAACAAGCTCTGAGTGAATCCAAACCAAATGTTTCCCTATTTAACACAATAAATTTATACGCTGAGGCAAAAAAAGGAGCATTTTCATATAATGTCTGGTTTCAGTTTCATCACAACTCTGGAAAGCCCTGAAAGCAGACTCCTCTGTGGAATCAAAGGGCCTCCTTGTTCAAAATTACTTTCCCATTTAAACCTGGAGTCTCTCACAATTTACTCAGGACAGCACAAATGGATTTTGGCAGAACTCTTATCTTTACAAGCGTGATCTCTGCCTGAGGTATTCACAGAAYGCCTTCGCTTTTACTTTCTTTTGACTGGTTCTCAGTTTATTTATTTTCTCTATGTTAAAATAGAGAAATTAATAGTTAAATAGTTAAAATTGTCTCCAGACTTGGACATCCTAATTTTACACATATAAATGCTTTGAAATTGGGTTTTTGGCCTGAATATAGGATATATATTTGCTTGTGGGTGTATATATATATATGTACTCCTCCCCCCCATATATATATATATATATATGTATTTGTGACTGGCCTGAGAAAGTTAAATCTTGACACATAATTAGCAAGATTTCATATTCTATCAAATTTCTTGGGGCTTGGGTTTGCTTGGTTTTTTTTGTGGTTTTTTTTTTGTTGTTTTTGTTTTTTTTTATTTTTTTTGTTTGTTTGTTTGTTTTTTTAACTGCTGGTGGTAATAACAGGTTTTTGTATAAAAACTACACAGTGCCAAAGCCCTAAATGGTGGATCACACAATTGCTAGGAAAAAAAAAAAAAACATTCTGTAACAGTTTCTTAGTTTTTTTTAGGGTAATATTTCCCTAGTCAGAAAAACAAAGATTGATAATCACTTCAAAATTTATTAAAAAAATAATAAGAAAGGTAAGTGATGCTAGTACCTTGGTGTCTGGGGATCAAGCCAAATCTGCTGAACCTGACCAATTTTTTAAGCCCAGTGCTGGTTTCTACAGTGGATTGTATTAGCACATTTCTAGAACAGCTCATCTTCTGAAATCGAACTGAAATGACAGGAGTCACAACAGTGTTAAAAAAAATTGATTCAGGTGCAATGGCACTAATCCAAAATTTGACATAATCTGACTTCTACCTCCAGAATGCTTGTTCTTACTGACTGTGGCTCTTTTCCACGTCTCAGTGTGGCAACGTGTTCAAATAATTTATTTTTTTTTTTTAAATTTGCCTTCACCGAAATGTGTTGCTTCTTCTAGAACATGTTGCAAAGGCTGATTTATGCATTCACTATTCCTCTTTTTCACTGGGTGAATGCATCCAGCTAAAGTACAGTGGCAGTGCAAGACAGGTTAAGCAGAAGCACCCTTGCAGTAAGTCCTCTGTCAACACAGAAGGAATGAAAGACGTCAGACAGCTTAACTTAAGACATTAACTTCAGTACAATATTCTGAGCCAGACTCTAACTTTGGGACATACTTTGTTTCAAGTACACCAGTGCCCTTGTGTCAAGATAAGTGGGTCTTCATCCAGAGWGCCTTAAATACATAAAAATTCAGTGGTTTAGACAAAAATAAAGCGATTAAAGTTAACTATTTCTGCCAGTTTTGGATTGCATGACTGTTATTGGTTATGACTAATGAATGGTGTTTATAGTGACTGTTGCACAAATCACCAAGGAATTTCTCTGGCAGCAAACCACACAGACTAAGGACTTCATACACCCTTTACTGAGGAGATGAGGCAGGACTCACATAAACAGATAAATCTTTCAGTGTCATTGCAAGTAAATATCTGAAATTATATGTTTATTTAAACTCTTTCCTTTCCAGTATTTGTACATTTTATATTCTTACTTGGGTTTAACAATATGTGACCATTAGAAAGACATCATCCTAATGGTATCTCATTTTTCATCCCTTTCACTTCCTGATCATAATGCACTAAAAGATGCATTTGTATTCCAAACATTACAAGGAAATATTGAAACAAGTATCATAGTTTAGCCTTTTTCTAACTTCATCCCCTGGTAATAAGAAATTTGTACCCTTGTGCATAAGAAACTATGTAACAGATTATATTATCCTTTTTCTTCAAGCTATGTCACAGTAGGACATATTTCCTCATAGAATGATAGAATGGTTTGAGTTGGAAGGGACCTTAAAGATCATCTATTTCCAACACCCTTGTTGTAGGCAGGGACACCTTTCACTAGACCAAGTTGGTCGAAGCCCCATTCCAACTTTGAACAATTCCAGGGATGGGGCATCCACAAATCCTCTGGGCAAACTGTTCCAGTGTTTCACCACTCTCACAGTAAAGATTTATTTTTTTTTCCAAATTTCTTCCTAATATCCAAAYTAGATCTACCCTCTTTCCATTTGAAGCCATTACCCCTTGTCCTACCATTTCATGCCCTTGTTGCAAGTCAGCMGGCAGCAGCAATAAAGGGATCTGTTCTTGCTCCAAAAATTTTATAAACACTCCCACCTTTGTGAATGCATTGCACTTTGCCCATATTTGCACAAAACTAACTTAATTGAATKATAACATAAAAAGCAACTTAAAGATTTTTTCCTCTGGATAAAATTTTGTGGTTTTGTACAGAATACCTCTTCACCAAATGTGAAATCAGAAATTCTACTCTACATAATTTATCATGGTTCCTCTGGACCCAGGGTTTGATAAAGCCAAAGCTCATGCAGTTATCTCCACAGCTTATTGTTGGATTGCATTTCGTTTGGTGTAAAGCAGAGAAAGCTGGTGATTTATTACAGAGTATGAGAAAGATTACCAAACTACAATTCCCCATTGCYCCCATCCACTTCCCAGGGATAAAGTTCTGGGACTGCTGAGAGATAGTTATCAGCACCTTATTGCAAAGCCACTCTGGGACAGAAAAGCAGGCAGTTGGTCATGGTTACAGAGCATGAGGAATGCTAAAACCATGACAGTAACCTGGTGCACCCTCTGCCCACTCCAGTTTCTGTCCTCTGCCTTTCCTGTGTGGGCTTTAATGAGTAACACCAGCACTGGTCACCCAAGCAACACAGGAATTCAACTTACAGGCATCTGGCTACCTGTCAAATGGCTAACTAAATAAAGATGTCTTCTCAGAACCCAAGCAGGTCTTGTCTCTCTTCCCAGCCCTCTGCAGTCACTTAAAATAATAASAATCATGCTACTTAAATATTGCACTGAAAATAATTATATGATGAATATGYTGTAAGGTTTAATTGAAAGAGAGCAAAGCAATTATAGGAGTATGAGTTTMATTTTATATGAAATTTAAATAAGTACTCCTGAATTTTATTTTTACTTTCTCTTTAATCTGCACATATCTGATTTTTATCAAATTAACATTTAATATGAAAGGACAATGTACCAAACATGATAAGTGCTGTGCCCTTTCCTCCCCTTACTTCACATGCTTAGAAAAGGTGAGGTTTTTTGKAGGGGGGAGTTTTTGGATTTTTTTTTTTTCCAGAAAGCTTGCTTTCAATTACTTGGATTTTTAGGTCATCACATTAAAAAACATACACCACTTCAGTTTCCTTTAATTATTATACATTTGATTTTAAAAATTCTTTAGGCAAAATTCTGTTCTCAGTTACACACATTCAGCCTCACTGAAGTCATTAATTACCATTTAATCAGATATATAACTTATTCTCAGGGAAAGCAGATAAGAATGAGAGGAAGGGCAGGAAGAGAAAGGACTCAAAGCACAAAAGAATAGTCTGACTAGCAAAGATAATTTAATAACATAGACATAACTAAGGCTTATTATGAATATTCTCTTCTTYCTCTGATTTTGTGAGTTAACATTCAATTAAGATCAATGACTACTTTCATRTTTCATCAGTTTCATTTAAAAGACAAAGGGAAAATTATGTTTAGCTATAATTGCATTTATAAAGACCATGCTGGCTTTAAAGTTTTCACTACTGCTATTTTTGGAAGGTACTAAATACACACAGAGCAGAGAGACAGAAGGTCTGCTAAAATGCAGAAAGGAGTATAATCCCACTAACAGTAGAAATAACAGTGGAAGCAATGATACAGAGAGATTATATGCATTGCACCATATCCTCCTCTRCCCCTGAACCAAGCTACCTAAAATTACTTAGTTAGGTCTGTATATTTAATGTCTTGCTACATTGATATGGACAAGAGCTTGGTTAAGTTGAAAAARCAAAAAAGTCACTATGCCAACAAAAACTATCCCAGGCAGGGAGCACACCATTGTGGTTAAATTACTTTTAATGCCCATATTAGTTTCCATACATTGTCTTATACCRCAGCCAAGCAACTGCTGCCACCACTGCAGCTACAGTGGGAGCAGTCCGAGCTGCAGAGCTATGTGTGCTCTTGTACCCAGGAATCAGGAGATGCAGCATCCTTAGCTGCTCACTGCCATGCACTGCTATACCTGCATTCATCATCTTCTCTAGGGTAGATTTTGTTCAGCCAAGTTGCCAGAACATTGGCTGTGAGCTCTCTGCACCTGAACCCAGTGCAATGTTCTCCAGCCTGGCTTGAGCAGCCTGCAGTAAATGTTCAAGCCAAGACAGATGTTTTGCCCCTAAAACAGATAAGGACTTAATATGCCATTCTTTATCCTTGCTCAAATGTGGGGATGGTACTTTTGAGAAGCAGAAACACTTTCAATTAACATAATTATTTTTGCAGCAATTGCCTGATTATGGCCTTTTACATACATTTCAAAAAAAACCCATCAGAAGCAAAATTACATTGGCTGCCCAGAATATATTAAACCACTGCCAGTTATCTATCTATATTATTTTCACTAAACTGTATTTGCAGTGRTTAGCATCACTGACCTGGTTTCAAYGCATGTCAAGATTAAAAATATGAAAAGCTTTTTGCTGTATATGTTGCAATTGTGTATAATAATACATTTTCATTAGTCRTGGGTGCATTTCAAGAATTTCAGAGTCCTAATTTCAATTAGGCTTGTGAGTAAAGGCTTGTGAGACTGAAAGTTAGTCCTGTCTTCTAGCTCTGTTGAGTCTATAAAATTGAATTTGAAAGTCAACGAGAGAAGACTCTTTCAAATAGRCTTTCAAGAGTCTGCAATTGGCCAGAAAAMYTYMAAAMMMSTYYT